GGGCGGAGGTAACCAGGCGGCAGCGGCGGCCTGGGTGGGAGTGGAACCCTGAGAGGGGTTTGCAGGTTGGCGGGGAGGCGGAGGGGCTCGGGGGGGAGTCGGCAGTGGGAAGGGGAGCCCGCGGGGGAAGGAAGGGAAGGAAAGGAAGGACGCGCTCACCATCCAGGCGGGAACCATCCGGGACGGGACCGGGCGGGACGCACCGCAACAGACACGCGCCGGCCGATCGGCCAATGGGCGAGCCGGACGCGCCGCGGGACCCGCCCCCCCGCCCAGCACGGACCAATGGCGCCGCGCCGTGACCGTGATTGACGGCTGAGAGCGCCGCGGGGCCCGCCCGCGGAGCAGCGGCCGCCGTGTCCAGGCAACTGGCGTGTCCAGGGAAGCGCCGGGAAGCGCGCACACACCGGTGAGACACCCGCGCCCGCACCCGCCGCCGAGCCACCGGGCCGGCCCTCCGGACCGCAGGAAGCGACCGGGCCGGTCTGCCACGGCAGTTCCGGGGCGCCCGCTGCGTCCGCTCCAAGCTGCTTCCCCCCCTCCGGCGATCCGGGAAGCGCTTCCTCTCCCTGTGAAGATTAGGAGATAGTGTTCTGATGGAATTTCGCTGAGTGGGATGGAAACATGAGTTTTTTGGATTTTGGACTAGCTGCGCCAAGGGGCCTTTAGGGAGAAGGGATAAACGATATGATGAATAAATTCCAATACCTGAAGGGGACTTGTGGGAAAGATGGGGCAAGACTGCTTACAAGACAGGACAAGGGGGAATGGGTTCAAACTGAAAGAGAGTAGGCTTAGAATAGTTCAGATATTGGGAAAAAATTAGATATTAGGGGAAAATTCTTTACTTCGAGGGTGGTGAGACCCTGGCACAGGTTGTCCATAGAAGCTGTGGATGCCACATCCCTGGAAGTGTCCAAGGCCAGGTTGGATGGAGCGCTGAGCAACCTGGCCTGGTGGAAGGTGTCCCTGCTCGTGGCGGGGGGGTTTGGAAGGGGATGATCTTCAAGGTTCCTTCCAACCCAAACCATTCTGTGATTTGAAGCTGAGCATAAAAGGTATAGGGCTCAGGGTTCTCAATTCTTGGGGTGTATGCTTTATAATTCAAAAAGGAAGTTTTAGTTTAATCCAGGACTGTGGTATGGAAGAGATTTTGAGGAAAAGAAGATTTATTTTTGGTGTGTTTAAAATGAGCAGTAGATCAAAAATTTTAAAACCTTGGCAGTTCATGAGGTATTTAGAAGTGGCATTGCTTTTCATACATGCATAAAGTATTGATGTGTGCTAAATAGACTAGATAGAATTGGAAACAGATAAGTTTGGTTTTCCAGATTTTGAAGATTAAACCTTCAAAGGGTACAACTATTGGTACCAAGAAGAATCTGTACAGAGCACTTGTGGTTTGCACGTAATTTGCCCATTCTGCTCTAATGAACTTTTGCCCTAAGTAAGGCAAATAACTGAAATTCCAGATAACAGGTCAGGAGGGACATGGTAGTTCTATGCAGTCTGCAATGCTTCAAGTTGAAGAAACTGTGGGAAGAAAGCCAGAAACGATTCAATGGCATTTTAGCAACACACCCATTTCAGCAATTGTATGCATTGACGTCTCATAATGAGTGCACGGGATAAAGAATTGTTTTATACAGAGCAGAGCTGTGTTCAGGGTTAGAGTGCTAAATTACTTTTTTGGGAATCTGCTCTGGCTTGCTGTGAGGTTGGGTCAGTAAGTTTGTGTTCTGTCCACAGATGCTGCCCAGTGCCCATGGCTTTCAGGGATGTGAATGCAAGGAGACATATTGGACTCCAGCAACTCTCATCCTTGGCATCGACTGGAAGAGCATTTCTGGGGCCAATGAAATCTCATAAATTCATTGTGGATGAAACCACCAACCAAAGCACATTGATTTGTTCTGCTGTTAGACTGATTGAAAGTTTGGATTTGACTAGTGCTGCTGGACAGCTTCTTAATGAAACCATTCAGGCACAGAACAAGGAGTTTAAGACTGGGATGAGTACCCTGTTGTTCCTCGTTGGTGCGTGGAGCAGTGCCGTGGTGGAGTGCCTCCAGCAGAATGTTCCTGTTTCAGCAATAGTGTCTGTGATGTCTGAGGGGTTGAACTCTTGCTGTGAGAGAGTCCAGTGTCTCCAAATATCAATACATGATGTAAAGAAAGAGCTGTGTTCTAGCAGAGTTAGGCCCAACGCTTTTGAATGCAAAGCTTGCCAAGTTGGATGTGACAGCCTTCTAAATCCTCAGGATTTGCTGTATTTTCAGAAATGTATTTCTGAACCAGAAGTAATTTCAATAAGTTGTTGTTCCCATCAAGGAGATGATTGTCATTTTAACAAGGGCTTGGTTTCACCCTTGGTTGGCTTTGGTTCAGCAGCTTCTCTTGTCAAACCAGCGGGTGACAGAAGTTCATCTGTGATTCCTGGAAGTGGTGTTATCGCATCCAGCTGTATCAAACAGAAGTTAACCCACAGCAGACACTTCAGCACTTTAGGAAAAAGCCATTTTTCAGGTCAACAAGGTAATTTTCAGGAATACCTTTTGAAACCATCGGCAGATCCATGTGAATGCTCTGATTTAGGACACCTGGCAATGGCTCTGAGTCATGGAAATCAGGCTGGTGTGAAACTGCTCCAGAGCATTGTTGAGTATCAGCAAGAGAGAGAAGAGTGCAGGGGCTCTTCCCAGCTTAATATCACAGAGATTGTGACATGCTCTTTGCTGGGCCTGCCTGAAAGCTGTTCCTGTGTCTCCCAGGGCTTTGTCACATTAGTGTCACCAGAACAAGCCAAATTCATCAAACACTTTAAAGACAAATCCCTCCGGATCCTGCTGGTGGATGGTGACCTAACGGAGCAGTATCGTCACTTAGGTTTTAACAGACCACATAACGTAAGGACCATATTGGAGCATCCTAACCTAGAGGGAGGCAGAGCAGGAGACACATGGCTAAGCAGAATGTTAGATATTCTTGTGAGCTTTGAAGTAAACCTAGTTTTGGTCAAAGGAAGCGTGTGCAAAAACTTACTGGACAGATGCACCGCAAGCAGGATACTGGTAATCGGTCCTGTGCCTCGGGATGTGTTGTGTGCCTTTGGGGAGGTCACTGGTGCCCAGCCAGTGACGTATCTGAGCCAGCTGAACCCTTCCTGTGCTGGGAACGGGGCCCAGGTGGAGCTGTGGGAGGCCAGCGATGGGCGTGCGATGGATCTGGGTGAGCTTGTGCCAGTCCGGATCAACGTGCGAGGCATCCCCCTGCTCACGGCCGTGCTCACCACTGCCGTGGCTTCCAAGGTGCAGCTCCTTGAGGACCAGTTCTGGACTTCAGTGTGTCGACTCCACCATGCTTTAAAAGATGGGAAGGTTTTTCCTGGGGGTGGTGCAGTGGAGCTCATGTGCCTCAGCCACATCCAGGTGCTCACAGAGCAGCCTGTGCGACCACCAAAGGCTGGGAAAGAGTTTCCCAGTCCTTGGCTGGCAGCACCTGTGGCAGAGTATAAATCCCTTGTGCTCCAAGCACTAGCAAGTGGCTGGAAGAGGTACCTTTCTGTGGTCATGTGTAACATGGCAAAGGCTCCGTCGGAGTTGGAAGCACGTGCATTAGTGGATCATCACCTCAGGAAAGCAGTGGATTGTGGCTCTCCCTCAGCATATATACTGGAATTGTTTAGAAGAGGTGATGTGCTTGGGGGTGGCTCTGGTCTCTTTGCTGACCATGGCGAGGGTTTAAAGGTTTATGATAACGTTGCAGCCAAGACAGAGGCGTGGAGGAGAGCCCTGGACTTGGTGCTGCTGGTGCTTCAGTCTGATGTCGAAATTATCACAGGCCCCAGAAGGAATGAGCTGTTGAACTCGCCTGTGTCGAGTGAATTTATGTTCTTATAGGACTTTGCAGTCCCTGAGTCAGCGGGAGAAGTCCAGGTTCAACTTACATGTCCTCATAATTAATAAAGCAAACACTGAGATGTGATTATGACTTTAGAGCGTTACAGCAGAAATCAGAATGAGAGACAGTCACAAGGTAATTTCTTATTTCTAGAAATGGGAATTAAATAACAAAAATCAGTTATGAGCTTACCTCTAACCCCAGCTTACTAATATTGTCTGTATAGGTGTCTCCTTCTAAAGAAAGGTAGGGACTTCTTACATGACATTGGTGTGCTTGTGTTAAATTAAAGGATATATATAATGTAATTAATTGGGAATTAATACCTTGTTCTTAATTTCTGTACACTGCAAGCATAAGAGTTAAACTTGATTGTTACATTTTACACTAAGAGTTCATATTAATAGATTCTATTTTTGTATATTTATATGGTCCATACATCTCTTATTTTCCAATATATAACCTTTGGAATTTCTTTGGATTTGACAAATTCATGCTGAATCCTTCCTTTTGGTATTACAGACTGGGTGTATCTCCACAAAATTTTCAATTTTACATCACAAACTGGATTTTTGGGTTGTTTCCTTGGAGTCTTTCAGTTGTCTTTGTAGAGAGGAAAATGGTCTATGTTTTAGGTGTTGGCTAAAAACTGTAAACAGGTCTATCATGACTGAGGCAAGGCATTTTTACTGTGTTACAGCACTTATAATTTGGAAGCAGAGCCCTGAAGAACTGGCACTTCATTGCAAGAAAGAGGTGTGTAACTATGGAGATTTTTTTTTTCTGAACTTGGCATTCTGAATCAAACTTAACGTGAAATGTCTCAGTTCTGGTGAAAACAGAACAGAAAACAAATGGAAATGGTGATGTTAAAGTGTATTCTTGCTTTCAGGAACTTTCTCATTAAACTGCTGATGGCTGGCATACAGATGATGAAATTCACCCTCAAATAAGGTTTAAATATATATAGAGATGAGTGTGTATATTAAAGTAGTGTTATATTTTTGACCTGAAACAGCAAATCTTTTGGTTTTCTGTCAAACTCCAAAATTCAGTGAATTTTGGGAAAATCTCATCAGTACTGTAGGGGTTTATAATTTTAATTTGGAACAGTATTTCCTAGCAGCATAGGGGTCTAGTTATACGGAAGTTTTGATCAACCTGCAATTACATTTTCATTATTAATCAGTTGGCACATTGATGTTTAACTGCTTGGTGTACTAAGACACGAGAGAGAAAGAGTCTGGTAGATCAAAAGAGGCAAAAGGAGCTAGTGGCTGTTAAGTGAGAATGAAGTGGAAACACAGCATATAAATAAATATGAACAGACTCTGTGCTCTGCAAGGGTTTGCAGCTCATGTTTGGCTTTATACTGGGTTTTTTTTGAACCTCCCATACTGAGAATTGCATAACCCCAGTTCCCAAGAAAAGATCCACTTGCACTTTATTTGAATAATAGAGTTAAGTGTGTTGTGGAAAAACTGCAGACATGAATTGTATTGAGGTGGTCCAAACATCTATTTATGGGGCTCTTAGACACTGAGAGCTGACGCACCAAGTGTTGAGAAAGTCCAACATGATGTAATTTTTCCAATCAGGCTTGTAAAAAGCACATAATGATATATTTAAATGCTGTGATGCTGAAACCAGGACAAGGGGTTTTCTAAAAAGCTGTCAGACATGATATTTTGATTAATTAACACTTGCTTATCTACAGGCCCACGAAATGGAAAATTTTATAAACTGGCTAGATATCGTAGCCCGGGTTACTTAAAATTATTTCTCCTCAAGGCATCCTCTTCTGCAATTTGGAGTACAATATAGTAGTACAATATAGTTCCCCAGCCTCAAATCTCTTAAACCTCTTTGCAACATGGACCGGAGATCCTGTGCGTGTCTGCCGTGGCACTCGGCGCCGGGAATGATTTCAACATCTGCCACGGGCGATTTCGGCTTCTGCCAGGCAGAGGCTCCTCCTCTGTGCACAAAGGCTGTTTGTGTAGAGCGTGATGTGATGGCAGGGCTAAACTTTTACATGTGATGTGCTTGGGAAATTGGGAAATGGAAGAGATTTCAGGGAAAGGATCGTCCCAAGGCATTGGCAGCATCTCACCCCCTGCTGAAACCAAGTCCTAGTCAGGTGCCTTGTTTCTTGCATCCCAGTGTCATCATTCCCAGCTCACTCCTCCTGTTTATGGCTGATGACATTTTATTTAATGTTTCTCTTTACAAAGCCTTTATAAGGCCTTCTCTTTTAGGTCTCTGCTCCTTGAGGGTTTCCTGAAATGTAGTGGAGGGCTTAATCATAGCAATAAGACCCTTGTCCCAAGCTGGGCCGGCCTAGGGCGCACAGCCTGCCTTCATATCCTGGCTTTATAAGGGCTGGTAGCCTGGTGATCAGTGGTTGTCAAGAGGCACCTGATAGTTTGCCTACTTCAAGTATACTGAAAATTGTGAGCTAGGAAATGTAGGAGACAGTGGTCCCCAGGTAGACAAAGGAATGACTGGGGGAGACTGGGGGCTGGGAAGGTTAAGGTAGTTATGGAGCAGGGAGGGCTGGAGGGGAAATCTTGAGCTCACAAGAGAGTTGGGAGAGTTAAGACAGTTTATTTGTACTGACCTCCTGCTGATATCCCAGGCCAGAGCTGCTGGAGAGGCTGGGAGAACATTTTCCTTTTTCTTAAGTGGGAAGAGGGGTGGAGAGGGGAATCTAATCTAGGAGAAAAGTTACGGAGTGACAAGAGATTTTCAGCTCTGCCCCGAAGGACGACTGGCAGACCTGAGTCATCCCATCAGTTACATCATCAGCAAAAGATCATTCTTACAGCACCAAGACCTTCTTCCATGAAAAGCAGGTTGGCTTCCGATAACCAACTCAGGCAGTACATCTAGAGGAGTTGAAACAACTCTACCAGGCATCAAGTGAATTAAACGTATTTTTATGTGTTGTTTTTTTTTTTAATCTTTTTTGTGTTTAAACTCTAGAATGCCCTGCTACATGGCAGTGCCATACTCAAATATCACTGAGCTGCTCCTTCAAGGAAGGGCTCGCTGTTTCTGCAACCTGGACTGCTGTGCGCTACAGGCATTTCTGGGAGTAACAGAGACTCACTGCAAGCCTTACAATTTGTATAAGGCAAACTGACAGGGAGTCTGAAATTGTTGTTTTTCTACAGCTGCTGTAAAACAGGGATCTAGTACTGACCAGCTGTAAATGTGGTTTGTTTTTTTTTAACCAGAACCACAGGCTTCATGGGGTATTTTTTACTTTTGGAAGGACCAGGTTGTGACTGTGTTCAGAAGTGTGGCACAGTGATACGTTTGCTCTGTCCCTTGTGCGACTTCTTTGTGTTAATTCTTTCCCTGGGGAGTGAAGCTGGATTTCTAGCTTTTGGTAGCTTCCTTCCAACCTTAAGGATTCCACGATTCTATGATTCTATGAATGTAACCATCCATGCTGCTGTTTCTACAGCTCTTTTTTCACAGCCACTTGTTGAATTGTCACTTACTCATAGCACTTTAAGATAGAGGGAATATATTCCAGTTTTATTCCTCTCTCTCCATAGATCAGCAATCCTTTTGAGACAATTCCACACCAGCACAGTTAGAGCATGGTTTGTATGACCTAATTTGGAAAAGTCAAAAAATCGAACTAAATTCTGCCACTTTCCACCAGCATTGCTGCATTAATTAACCATTTATTGCAAAGGTGCAGGACCAAGATCTTTTCCTTTCAAGGTGATATGTTAACCAGGCACGAATAGATCTGCAATCTTAAAGGGCTTTTTCTTTGTAGATAATGTTACTCCGAGAACTAATGTCCACAGGGATGATTTCAGCACAGTTGAAGGGAGAGAACAGCTCACGTATGTGCACAAACTAGAGACTGGGTTTGATACTGAATGGTGGAAGGAAGAAAAGAACACATTTCTCTATTTTGACTTCCTACCTGTTGATTCTGCTGGTAATGTCCATTTCTTTAGGTATTTGAAAAACACCCCTAGTGGTGGCTTGAGCTGCATTTCAGTGATGGTTTTCTGTGAGTGCTGGGATTCAGTTCGCTGCATTATGTTCCTGAAAACTTTGTAGGGACAAGGATGGTTTGGGACAGAAATGCTTCCCTGAGTGGAGGGAAGTAATAATTCCCCAACTTCTCCTTCCACATCAAGCCCCCGATGATCCTTGGGGAGTGGCTTTTTGTCACATTTAATCCAAGCCTGGGCTCCCCAGCACCATCCCCAGCAGCCGTGTGTTCCCATGGTGAGCCATGTTTGGGAGGAATCCTTGAGTGCTTTTCAGAGGGGTGGAAAGAAGGGCTGGGCCAGGATCATGCACAGATGGTGAAAGAGCTCCTGGGAAGGGGGCGGGGGGGAACCGAGGCCTGTATTTTGTTTCCCTGCCTAGCAGAGATTCAAAACAAAGAACTGTTTAGATGAAAAGGAATTCTTTCCTTGGGGACCAAGTGCTACTCCAAACAATAGGATTATTTTTTCATTAATGCAAGAGTAGTAAAGATAGCATGCAGTTTTTATTTAGAAGTAATGGGAAGACCGGCCCCTGACTGTCTTTTATTCCAGCTCAAGTCAGTAGTATGGGGGTTAGTGTTGTTCACAACTTTTGTCTGCTGTGTTGTGAGACCAAATATTTAACCAGTATTGCAGATTTGGAGAGGTGACTAAAAATAACACGGTTGGTGAACTTATTTGTTCCCAAGGTGTGATCTGAGTCACTGCTTTCACTGACTAAACTTCAAAACAAAACAAAACCAAACAACATAACCCCCCTATTTGTTCATACTGGAGAACCAGAAGAACTCCAGAGGAATACCTGTCTATTATTAGTAAATCCTAATTTATTTTTTTTTTAAGAACAGCAATCCCTCCAGTAAACTGAAAGGAATTTTGCCTTGTTTTGGGTATTAATTCCTGTATTCCACTTGCTGCTCCCTGCATTTGCAGTTCTGTCTGTGGGCTCCAGCTCAAAGATCCGCCTATACCATGCACATACTGTTTTAGGGGAAGTGAACACAATTCCATGTGCAAAATTCCATATCAGTATAATGTCTTTGATTCCCTACAGTAAGGAAAATTAGACTAGTACCTCTGCAGCAATACTAATATATTGATTAGATCAGTTTAATTAACTGGCTTAGTCCTCCTATGTGTCTTTATTCCAGTTCCCTGAGTATGCCTTGCTCAAGGTAAAGGGTCAGTTAGTGTTCAGAACTTCACTTCTCACTCTCTTCATCTCTCAGTTTATGTAAACACTGTTTGAATAACCATCCCAATTGTGTCATCCAAATCCTGGTTCAGGGGTACTTGCTTTCTGGAGCTGTTTAGCTGAGTGCTGCCAGAGGCCAGGAAACTCTGATATAATTGGCAATAAGAGAGCTTTACTGGAAAGGAAGCCTAAATGTATCTTTGTTTATCTGAAGTACCGAGCAGTTAACTTGAAAAATGTTTTTATGTGTGACCCTGGCTATGCAGTTATTCTGTTTGACATCCCAAATACAAGAGCAGTGCTGTAGATAGGCTCTACAGAATTGCCAGATGTCCGGTCAGTAATTGCTGTACATGGGGTGGGTTACTGTGGGTAGTATGGGAATGACTCTCAAATCTCAGCTCCAGTGATGGATGCTCAGGAATGTTTTCCAACAGAACTTGAGGAAGACCTCCAGCCTCCCAGATTCCACTCACAACCATTCATAACACCAGTGAAACTGTGGAAGAAGAGAGGCTTTTCAAGGCCAGAAGAAACTGGAGGAAATCCAGTGTCTCTTGTTTGTTTGAGTCTCATTATTAAACACACTTATTAAACTGCTGAAGAAAGGTCTTCCAGAAATACAGGAGCTAATTTAAAAGTATGTGACTTGTCTGTGCCAAGGGGTGCTGTTTGAATTAGCTGTGTTTGCTCACCTGTAAAACAGGACTGCAGACTGCCCTACAACATGACACTTGGCATTTACCGCTCGGCCATGATGAGAGGAGCCATTGTACAAATAGGATGTTCCATTCCCTGCCCTCCCTCAAACACTTGTGTCCATCTCAGATAACAAGCTGAAATAGGGTTTGTTATGAATTGGATTTTCTTTTAAAAGGCCAGTCAAGCTGTTTTTGTTCTGGTTTATGTGTTGCTATGAGCCATTACCACACATTCAGTTCTTCAGTGAGAATTCACAGATGCTTTTGCTGCTGCGCATGTGTGGCGAGATGTTATTTTGCTGATATGTTGTTCTCAGGAGACCGAAGGGGAAGGGGAAATCATACTTTGGTTATGAATTAATACAGGAACCAATCCCTTTTTTCATTAAAAACATCAGTGGAGTTTCTGTGGCTTTGGGGAGTTGGTCCCTAAGAAACAGATTATTGCAAAACCATGATCATCCTTCCTCCCTCTTCTGAATCCTGCTACAGGGCGAATTTCTGATCATTTCTTAGTGGCAAGAAATGTAAAATTGAGGACTGCTGCCACTCTTTCTCAGATGAACCTCTAATAAACTCAAATAGCAACAACAATTGGTTAATGATAAGATGGAAAACACTTCCTTCAGAGATGCAGTAGGTTGAGTCGTGCTTTACACTGAAGAATTTGATAAGGATTAAGAGCCCATCATCTCTAGGTTAAAGGATGTCTCCTGCAGGAAATGGCACGTAGGGAGAATGATCAGCTTTGGAAACAGTCATATCCATTCTGTTTCTAATTTTTAAAACTGCAAACTCTTTGGAGAAGAAACTCTTCACTCGGTTCATATAGTATGTGACAAAATTTCATGGCTAGGCTTCACGAACGAAGATTTGGGAAGGAAATGTGACAAAATGAATCCTTGGATAACAATCAGGGGTCAGAATTATTATAGCAATGAATGACTGAACGTTTGATGTCACTTAAGATTTAGCTTCTTCACCTTGAAATACGTTTCTTTGATTTGCAAACCTGACAAAGCTATTGGAATTTGTCAAAAATCCTTCTGCATTGCTTGGTACAGAATTCCCACAAGCCTGGACTCCATAAGGATAATATCTAGAACAGGGTAGTTCTTGGAGAGTAATAGTAAACTTTGACAGTGAACACAGTAGTTCTTTTTTGGAGTATAGGGTGAAGATTAAACCACAGTAGTTATAATGTGCCAGGCAGAGCTATGAGTAGTCATAGAACATACAGTGCAAACTCAGTAGAGCAGAACACTTCCTCCACATAGGAGCTGGCAGGATGGAATGAATGTCATCCTTTTAAATACCTTGGAAATGAAACAAGACCTCAGTATATGTGTGTGGGTTTTGAGTTTCACTAATTCTTTTTAACATCTCTCTGAAAGAATTCCCCGTAATCTGTAATTGTTTACTTTACATGTGATCTCTTTATTTGTGGCTTTAATATTAATCTCCAGTGTTGGATCTCTGTCTATTTGCCTTGGTCTGACGAAGGCATTAGAAGTTGCCCCTTGTTATGTTTCCTGTATCACTGATATGATGCAGAGCTGGCTCAGGCATATTTGGCAGCAGTGGTTTTAATATTGCAGGCAAAAAATGAACAGACTTTGCTGCTACAGGTTTGAGGAAAATCCTTACTCGTTCTATTTGGTTTTGTTGGGGTTGTTTTGGTTGTGGGGGGTTTTTTTGGTTTTTTTTTAAGTGGAAACTTAAATGGCTTTTTTCGAATTGTGCTTTCATCTATGTCTGGCTCTTCCTCTGCTCTGTTTGCTCTTGAGTCCCCAAAATTAGCAAGAGTAATGTTCTAGTTTGCAGTGCAGTAGGAAAGAATAACTTGACTTTCTAAAATGTAATAAACAGTGCAAGACCTGGAACAAGTACAAAACCTTCAGACAAGGTGAAAGCCCCCAGAAGAATACCTCTATTCAAAATGTCTGTGGATGTCTGCAAATACTGCCAGGAGCTTAAGTCTTGTCCTTTTCCTTTCCAAACATGTGTATTAGGTTTTTCTTTAAAAATACATACTGTATCCTTGAACTCTTCCACGCTCCTAGTCAAAGACGGTAGTATTTCCTTTAGACTAGTTGATTCATAAATAAAATAAAATCAGTGAGACATTATTTTGGTCTTGCTTATTTCCCTTTTGTGATATTGGATGGAAAATGGTCTTTTTGAAATATCCAAGCTTTAAAACCAGCATTAAAACCAGCTATTGAGGGTTACCTGGCTCAACATCTCGGGGATTCCACTGGGTCTAAATCTTTTTCTAACTGAACTGATCCAGCCTTGTTTAAAATGTCCCCTTATCCTCTGGGACATGTATGTGCTGTACAGCACATCTTCTCCTGGTAGGGTCAGTGTCACGCTGAGTTTCTCCCATGGGTAAGTTGTGGTCCCCAGGATGGTTGTTAGCCCACTGGGATGGCTCCATCCCCCAGAGCAGCCTTGCAGGATCTGGCCCAGTAAGGGACCTCACTCTGCAAAATATTCTGTACTGTGCCATTGATAATCAGCAGATAAATCAACTGTCAGGCTCCATGTCTGTCTCTGACCCGTGGCACCCATGGGGCTGCCCTCCCCCGTGCAAGCAGCAGTTGTAAATTCATTTTTTAAGCCCAGGTGCATTGCTCTGCTGGTGCCTCTTTGTGAAGACAGAAGAAAGGTAAGTCTGGTGAGGTAACTTTACCTTCAGCCTCTCTCTCTTCTTGCACTGCACTTTATTCCTCCATTGCGTTTTGTTTTTAAATGGAACTAATTCTAATCTTCCCTCCTCTTGTTTTTTTGCAACAAAACATCTGCTTTACAGAGAGGGCAGAAAGGGTTTATTTTGTGTAGGAAGCTCAGCTTAGACTAATATGCATAGCAGATGACAGTAATTTCATCCTTAAACCTGAGCTCTGTCATTACTTTGGGGTCAAATATGATGGAGTGAGAGACTGTCTGTTGTTTGGTGTGTCATTTGTTCCACCTGGGTGCCTCCCATCTGTTTGACTGTCCCAAGCAGAGGCTAATTTTGTAGCTGTACTGTTGCCAGCAGCCTAAGAAAGATTCTTTGTGGCATTTATTTACTCCTTTCTATTTGCCTTAAAATCACTGCTGATCACAGCCTGAGTTTCTCTTTGTGGTCTATTGAGAACAATAGCAAAAATTCCAGTGAAATTTAACTTGCTGGGAAGGAGTCATAAGTGGTCCAGGATTTATTCTCGATTTGCTTTACTGTGTCACCATCTTTTATTAGCTGATAATTTCCTGTTCATTGATGACAAGACCGTCAAACAGCATCTCCTTCGCAGCAGAGGTTGTCTCTACATGAGTAGCTTTTTGTATTAAAAGTCTAGGCGAGAGAGAATTCTTCCTAGGCCTGCAAAATGTGTGTAGAAGGAAGGGATTAATATTGAGATGATGGCCTTGTCATCTGATTTGGCCTCTTAAATCCTTTTGTACGTGCCAGGTGCAGAAATTCTTCCAGCTTATTTTCTTCCAGTCCCCTCTGTATTCTGCTTCTAACAAAGTCCTGTGAGAACGAGTGCAACAGATGAGAAAATTAACTCAGATTTGAATCACATTTGACATTGGCAGGAAAGTGAGGGACTTAAAGCCAAACTCCACAACATCCTCAAATACAAAATATTTGGGATCAAGAGCCCAGTGTTTGCTTCTGAGAAGAACTAGGGCTACTTGTGATATTCTGCAATCAATCAGGATGTGCCAGTCCTGTAAAAGAAATGTCACTGAAAATGAAAACATCATTCTGAAGGCATTAATTGCATATTCCTGATACTTCAAACCATAATTAGAGATCGATATTATTATGTATGCTGCAGACTTTGCAGTAATCCGAAGCAATTTAGTTCCACAAGAAATTTTGGAGACAAGTAACCACTTGAAGCTTAAAATTGTTCCACTGTCATTATTGCTTTTTGTTTTCATTTTTAAATCTTGCAATTAGTGTTTTTAAAAAAATAATAAATAAAGCAAAAGGCAAATACAGACCATCTGTGAAACACACAGGAATTGTTAAAAGCTGCATCCACGAGGATCTCTGGGAAGAGAGCCATAACACAACTAAGCATTCAGCCAGCATGATATAATTACAAATTAAACATCTCTAAAACAAATTCAGGATGAAAATAAAAATCCATCAGACCTCTGCTTGTTTCTTTGTTCTAGAAACTGGTATATTCAGTTCACATTAATTTAAATAAAGGCTCATTGACAATGATATGGTGAGACATAATCTTTTTACACTTAGAACACAGTCTCTAATACTTTCTCATTATTACTTTTATCTAAAGGACCATTTTGCTTTTAATGATAGACAGAACCCTTAAGCCAGACTGGATCTGATGGCTCTTGGGACATGCTTGAGGTAAAAACGCTTTCAGCACAGTCATTAAGTATTTGTAAGAAAAACTTATGTTAACATTTACTGCTGTATTTCCAAGAGGAGAAAGATTAACAAATGGAAACTTTAGTTACTTAAAAAGCCAGAGAAAGAACCCTGTAAATAAATGAAATGGACAATGACACAATGTTTAAGGTTATTGCTGAACAATTTTTTCATGTAAACCAGATTATTTTTTTCTACACATGCCCTTTCACAGAAAAATGTTACCCTCAGTTTTAGTGGTTAGATCCATATGTGAAATTGATATTTCTCCATCAAAACCAGAAGTATTCCTAAGAATTGAAGATGACTGTGATACAACAAAAGTCTTCAGAAGAAAATTTCTTCATGAAGATCAGATTAATCATGAGACTGAATAAGCAAATTAGTTCCTCGTGGAGGTTCAAAGTAGCCGCAGGAAAATGGTTTGACCAGTTAGGTACAAAACAGTGCACCAAACATAACACAGTTTTTGAAACCTTCATAATTTAAAACAAAAGAAAAATCCTCTCCCTTATATATATAATTTTAAATAAATAATCAGTTGCTAAGACATTTTGAATGGGGAAAATTGAATTTTGGGCTTTGAGGATGAGCATAAAGCAGTGGCTTTTAAGGGGAGGCTCATCAGGTCAGTTTTCTATGGACAGTCAAAGCCAATAAAGATGTCTATGGTAAATGCAACAAGTGTAAGAATTCAAGCTTTTGTGCTTGCTGAGCCCATGTTTTGTTTTTCCCTTATGACATCGTTACAGAAATAGGTCTAATTCACAATGTCGTTGTGAATCTCTGTACTTGGTTTGGGAACTTTAACCCTGAATTGTTTTTCAGATTTTTTCAATACCTGTGAAGGGACATGATTTAATTTCAGAATTCTGTCTGATGTGCATTATAAGCTTTACTTTGGTTATAACAGCTCTCATTTCTCATTGTAAGCCAGTTAACTGAAATTTCGTTTGTTATTAACAGAAAATCTGCTTTCTTCCTCTTTTAGAAAATAACAGCTTATTACTGCTCACTCTCCAAGAAAGAGTAGGAAATCAGAGCTCTGAAATGGAAGTGATTTAAAAATAATAGTAGAAATGTCATGTAGCGTAGCAACAGAGGTCATATTTCATGATTTTCCCCACTGTGTAACTCCGAAGCAGTGCACAGGTGAGATTCTTGGTCCTGTTTCAAGGTGGTGGAAGGATACCACCAGTGTATTTCTTCACTAGAAAGGCTGGCTGGGGATATAATTGCTGTTATTGATATCCAGTCTGTTCACCTCCATACTTCCCTCCCACTTCTCAGCTCTTCCTTTGTGTCCTAGGTGTGTTAAATCAGCAAGTCTTAGTTCTGCTGTCAGCCGGGCTGTATTTTCTGGCTCTCTACCGTCTGAAAAACTATCCTCTGGAATAAGGGTTCTGTGAGCCTTGGGGGATAACATGAACAGGCA